AACTTGTGGACTTTGCCAAGGATGAGAAGAGTTTAAAGGAAAAAATGGTCAAGCCCCTGGACAAGGAGTCTATTGAGAATTCCTAAACAGAAAAGCTGCACCAGACTCAGGAAATCCCCAATATGAAAATAGTTTGGATCCGGGAAAGGGGTCAGGTTAAGTCTTGTACGTACAGTTGCCCTGGTTTTATGCAGACATTTTATTAGGGCCACAATTGGAGCAGGATGCACTCTTACAAGAAAAAATAGGTACACAAATTGAAACGTAGAGCAGCTTTGCCATCAATAAACTCGTGTAAATAAATTCTCATTGCTAAGAAAAAAATTCTAAAAACACAAACACAACAAAAGTTCCTTCAGGAAAGCGAAGCATAGCTATTGCTACCAGGACTGCTAGTGTCACACAGGATTTTCTGAACAGCAGTGATGAAAAGGAGTAGATTCTGAAATGATAAACTGGTGCATTTTCCGTGGTTCCGTAGGTAGTAACTCATCTTTCCTCAAGCCACATGCAGTACATTTCACCTGCTGTCACCTAACCCATGCAATTCCTACCTGTAAGATTTCCCAAGCTGATCTAGCAGCTGAGTGCTACCAGTAGCAGTGCTCCTGCTCCCCTGCTCCAGGCCATGCTGGCCCACTGCTCCTACACTAGTTCCACTTTGAGTGAAAACTTCCTTGTACTCATCTAACTAAAGCAACAGAAAACAAAAGTAGAGAAATCACAAATGTTTCTGTTGGTTTAGTGAGATAAATCAGCTGACCAGGGAACCATTCAGATGAAAGCAGCAGGATGGAGCATTAGTTCAGTCGCTCTTCAAGCTTTTAGCTTTTAGCTAAACCTGCGAAACAGAACAGAGTTAAAAAGGATGTTCTGAATGCTTTCAGTCAAACTCATTTTAAGCGTGTTCAGCTCTCATTCAAACAAATCCATTTCTATTTTAAAAATAACACAATGCATATCAAGACCTCAGTTACCATGCAGCCTACTAAAATCGCTTGCATTACAAATGCAGAGGCAATATATACGTTGCTGGAAAAGTGGTAAGGGAAGCCCAGCAAATAACTGGTAGCAATGACTTGCTATGTACCTAGAGCCCGAATTTGCTGAGTTAAAAAAATCTTTTTCCAAAGTACAGAGAATATTTTTACCATTTACTGGTTTACTGTGTGAATAAGTACAGTAAGCTATTATTTGGAGTTCAGAAATCTTCTGAATGCTGTAAAGACTGGAAAATTTAAATCATCATCCTCTCTATTACAAAGCAACTGGATGCAAGGGACCAAGCTGGTACTACATTCTGATGAGAAAAAAAGACCAGAAATGCACACATCTGTTCACTAACTATAGATAAAAACAATTCCTCTTTCATATAAAGACATTCTGAATGCAAAACAACTTTTCCTCCTGCTGTAGTCACCTCATCTGAGTTTGTACTGCCAAACAACTAAGGACACCTTGAAATCCCAAACAGAACCAAATAGTAGACTGTATCCCAACAGCTCCATGGTTGAAGGTTCATCCCTTATAGATCCTTATCAAGACACTTACTACACTAACAGTCCCGTTGTTTCATTGCAGAGTCCACTTCAAATCTGATGGATTACACACTTTACAAACGTTTTGTAAAATACTTTATTTACCTTCACTCAAGCTTTTAAGAAATGCTTTAGTATTAGTTTCAGGTCTCCCTGAAAAGAATTTCCTTCTAACAAATACCAGCACTTGCCAGCAGATAAGCATTTCTAGAACCTTATTTTGAAATCGCATCACCAACAGCATGTTGTCAATGAGACATTTATCAAAGAAGGAATGCTACCGTAGGATCAAAGAGATCAATTCAAAGTTTAAGAAAGGAGAAAAAACAAGGGGAGATTTCAAAGGGCACCTGAGTGCTATGCAGAGCACTGAGCCCCAGCTCTCTGAGTGCACTCATCGCTACCAAACAGCCACAGCACCCCACCTTGCAGGCCTCAAGCTTGGACTTTGTTTTTGTTCAGACCTCTTGCAGCAGGTCTACCAGCAAAAGCAAACCATGGGTTCTTTGCACACTTGCCCACCAGGGCTGCTAAACCAGCACATCACAGCTAGGTGCTGCAAGACTTCTCACAGAAACACAGAATGGCTCAGGTTGGAAGAGACCTCAAAGATCATGAATCTCCGACCCCCAACAAGTCAGCAGGTCACATAATCTGTGAGTTTTCAAAAACACAAAGAAGTAGACGAGTTTACCATCAGATATGTGAGCCTCAGGCCATAGAACAACAGGGTATTTTTGAAAACAATTTGAAATGTTCCTCGTGATATTGCTTTATAAAAGATAATGGCCTCATTTTACTTCCTGCTTTGGAGCAACGAGAATTTCTGTGTTATTTACCAGTTGATAATACAAGAATGTTTACTGTTAAGTTCACCTTGGCATGTAATATTTAGGAGCAATGCCATAAATGTACAGATTAACATTGTTGGGACAGAAAAGACCAGCAGCTTTTAAAGCATGCACACAAAATGTAGAGAACTAACAAGCATTTAAAGAAACAGAGAAATTCCATTGGAAAGTAAGAAATACATTTCTCAGCTGTGTCCAACTCAAACATTTCATCTTTGTACCAGAACAAAGACACGTGAAAGTGAAAATCACAGAAGTGAAACCATCTTATCTGTTTCCACCACTTGAGGAAAAGAGTTTTCAAACAAATTATTTTGTATGTTTGGCAGCTGTAACTGTGTTACTTAAGCTTAACAATTCTTTAATTTTTCAACCAGTTTAATTACAGGCAACCTCATCAGAGAGGTTTGCTCTGCATCAAGTCTGCAGTTGAACATGGGAACACTGCACTGAAGCTTAGCAGAGTGACAGCCTCCTTGTATTTGTGCTTCTAAAACACCTTCCATGCTGAGCTGCTGACCTGTAGCAATAAAAAGTAACGCACGCATGCATTCATGATTCAGTTATTTAAGTTTCTCTACAAAACTGTTACATATCACCTCTTTCAAGACTGCTGTGAACAAGTACATACAAAAAGGATATACCTAAATGGAAACATAACACATCAACTCAGCAAACAAAACAGCTGAGAGACAAAGCACTCCCAGCAGCAACAATATCTGCAGTATCAAACACACCTACAAAAGGTTTTCAGAGGGCAACACCAAGCACTGGAATGCAACACTGGAAAGCTTTTTCCTCACATGCTGCTAATTTAAACTTCTGCAGAACTATCCCCAGCTGAACTTCATGGGCTGACTCTTTGCTGGACTTAATAACTGAGCCACAAAATGAACATGGGTAAAACACTGACAAATGCATAAGATAACTTAAGAAGCTAAGTCAGTCACAGTTTCTCCAATGGATGTAAGAACACACAGCATGTTTTAGTTGCAAACATCAGCTCCATGGTTTCCAGTATGATTCTGCAGTTCGTGAAATATTCAGAGGCTGTGAGGTTTAAAGTGAAGTGTCAAATAATAGGTCAAAATTACCATTCCTTAGTTCTCTCAGGGGAAATTCCTAGGACTGCTGAAATGCCAGTGCCAGCTGAGAAATTGTTTCATCAGAAAACGTACCACATTAACTATTTAATTTCTGCTTAGTAAAATCCCGCTTTGTGGCTGTGATAGAATCCATTCCAACAGCACCTGCAGGGAGCCAAAGACTGACAGCAGCAACACTGCACTTCCTCTTTCATGCTGCACCCGTTGTCTGTAGTGCACATTGCTGGTAATTTGACAGGTGTTTAAGAAGTTCCAGGAGTTCCCGCTATCCAGAAGTGATATCCTCCAGATCAAAGTGCAGGAGGAGACAAATACTGCTGGCTTGAAAAACAAAAACATTTCCCAACCTTTGTAAAAGTTAGCGAACATAGTGACCGACTTCAGTAACCCGTACTTCAAGCCAGTGCAGAAGTGTTAACAGGAAGAAGTCCCACACCCACTTTAGGAATAAATAAGCAAATAAAGGTACAGGAATTTACTCCCAGTGTTACAAGGGCTAAGCATCTCACGGGAGCTTCTTCTACCCACTTAAAGAAGCTACTTCAACTTTCTTCCATGCATGAAGTTCTGTGCCCGCTCCCTAACAGCACTAACCAGTGCTTGTATTGTAAAAATTGGAGCCACACAAGAAAAAAAAAAAAGCTTATGATACACTCTCCCTTTTATGAAGCACTTAGGATACTGAAATACTGCTTGAAAACAGCCTGATGAAGAGACATATCCCACAGATCAGAAGCTATTAGGAACAACTTAGCAGTTATTGAAATACAGCCATTCCAGCACACTTTCTGTCATGGACTATTTAAATCAATACACCATTTCTATATCGTTTCACATAGCCATCTTTCGTCGTTCTGTAACAACATTTGGAAAAAGCAAATATCATCCATTAAAAAGTCGTAAGAATCAACAACCATGTACACAACACTTGGCCATATTATACTAAGCTTCCACACTTTAATATATTCAGAACTTGGAGACAGGAGAGGCTCTCACAAATCATTAACCTGCATTATTAACTGTTATGGCATCTAACAGCTTGCTCATGGTAATAGCATGTGGCACCTTTTCTACCTTCTCTTACCATGGTCATATCCCTCTGTAACATGCCCATAATGTGTTTATACCTTGCAGCAGCTCGTAAATGATTTATAAAGAGATCTGAAAGAAAGATGTGCCCTTGTATCTTCTCTTTTTCTTTCAAACCATCTGGGCTCCAAAGACACAATATGTGGAAGCACAAGGCAAAGATGAAAACAAGATCTAGCTGGTTTTAAGATGATAGATGTAGAAAAAGGAAGGTTGCTTTGCATGAAACATTATGTCCAGGGTATTGATTACTCTCACTATAAGCCAACATTGCGACAGTATGATCAAGACAACAATTTTATGCACACTTTAAGTGGAGCAGAGCACCTGAAAAAGAGGCAGTTTACATATACCTAACTGAACTGCAAGCTCAACTTCAGCACAGAATTAAGCCTTTAATCAGTGCAATCGCTTACCAATTTCAGCAGGTAGTTGCTTGATTTTGTTCTCTCGTATGCTAAGCATGGTGAGCTTTGACAAGTTTTTGATATCCTTTTCCACAGTAGTTATACGATTAAAGCGTAGGTAAAGAGTGGCGAGAGAAGTCAGTCTGTACACCACCGAAGGAATCTCTCTCAGTTTGTTATGCCGCAGGTCAAGCATGCGCAGTTTCTTCAAGTTATCAAGAGAGTCAGGCAAACTGGTGAGTGAATTCTCACTCAGGGCCAGTGTCATCAGGTTCACAAGACAGCCCACCTCTGCTGGCAGAGACTGCAGTTTGTTACTGTATAAATAAAGTTCTGTTAACTGCGTTAACTCTTTGACAGCTGATGGAAGCATGTGTATAGACCTCTTGGACAAGTCCAAGCGCATTGAATTCTCTTCCCGGCATTTATTTAGCTCTTTGATCACTTCAGCATTGCTGGATTTTTTGCGGGTACCTGTGGCTGGATTAGGTCTTTTTATCGTATTGTCCACTGAAAAAGCTACCCCAGGCTGCGTGCTACTGGAGTCTTTCTTTCCATCTTTGGCATCTTTCCCTTTGGTCTTGGGCTCCTTCTCTTTGCTTTCTTTCCCAAATCCTCCAGAGGCTTTGGCCTCCTTCTCCCTTTCTTTTGACGACGGGACTTTTGGATCTTTCTCTTTACAGTCCTTTTCTTTTCCTAGATTACTACTCATGGTGATTCAACACTTAGCAAGCACCACATGAAATCCACTTCTGAAGTTAACAAGAGCAATTCACTGTTGTGGCTACAAGGATCCTTAAAACATGAAAGTGTTGAACCAAGGGAGGAGCTTCAGCGGCACGATACCCATTTGCTACATATTGGTTCCGAAGGCACTCTTTTCCTAATCCTGGTCTCAGGAGATTCAGCTGTTAGAGATTAGGTCAAGCGCTCCGTATTAGTACTTCTGTAACACAGGAGAGAAAAGAAGCCAAAGTTAGCATAAATATAAAATCTCTCTTCCAGTTAAGAGTTGAATGTTTCTACTTCAAGCCAGCACTCGTTCAGGTTAATATTTGTCCATCATTTAAACATCAGCAAAAAAACCGAAAAGCCCAGTGTTGATACAAAAATACTACATCCATGGCTCTGAAGACCCACTGCAGAAGACCTACAGTAATTAGTATACGTGAAAAAAAACCAACAACAACATGATTTCTTGAACATAATACAGCCTTATGTATTTGCGTACAGTAGTACACTGCACTTGTGAGCCACCCTCTGACGTCATCACCAGTTCTCAGCACAACGCCCTGGTCATAAACATGAATGTTCTTTATTGACCTGATGGAAGAGATCTGCTTTAATTTTAAGCGCTTGTCTCTTCAAACAAACCCATGCAGCCTCATTCTTTCAGCACAAGAGAGCCTCGATTCAATCCGCAGTGAAATCTGACGCCGCACTGCAACACAACACTGGGCTCTGAGATCTGCCTTCCGACCTGCTGAGCCACGAGCTGCGCTCTGCTTCCAGCACGGGACAGCATGCAGTCAGCAGTCACCTGCAGAGCTGGAACATTAAAAAAAACCTGAAGTTTGTTTTCAAATAATCCTACTGAGAAGTCAGCTGGGAGCTCTGAAGGAATAGATCATGTTATCCCTCCAGACAAGCAAAATTAGGAAGGAGTTTCTCATAAGGATAAGTTATGGCACGTCTTTTAACAGTACCTTGACCTTTTCCACCAATGGCTATAATGCAGACTAACTGAAGAGATGTCTGAAACCTGCAGAGCTCCTTTTGCCTTTCTACAGAATCATCATCACGTGTCACAGACAGTAGCACAGACTCACGTATGAATTCAGAACACCTCGCACCCCTCAAGAACTTCACAATTCTGAATACTCCCAAGAGGTTTTTGAATGTATCTCCATGGAAGAAAATAAAAGGACGATCAACAGCAGCAAGAATTTCATGTTCCCACCATTTAATCTGGAAATAACTTTTCTTTGCAGGGCAGCATTCACTGACAGAGTTCTGCTGGCAATCCAGAAGAGCCCCTTGCTTTTTCCCAGGCTGGAAAGGAGCTGCCTAGAATCTCCTTAAGCCCACAACAGGAGCTCTGCCTCTTCCTTCATTCCATCCTCTGCATAAGTTCATAGAGCTGATAACCAAAATCAATTAAATAATATTCTGCATGCTTGAACCATTAGCAAGAACTAGAACTACAAAACCTTTCCCAGCCCTCCGCCCGCATTCATTCCTGTGGCAGCATCACAGACTGTGCTACAAACTCCTCAGCAAAACCCTGCTGTTCCCAGTAACCATATTCTGGAGCACTCTGCTGTAAAGGGCTACAGCAGCCTGGGAGCAGCAGCTTTTAACTTCTCTCTTGGAGGTCCCCAAAACAGCATAAGCTGGTTCCTTACTACATACTTAAGATTTTATACCCAGCTTTTAAACCATCCATTAACCTGTCCTAATCTCAAGATTACCAGCCTCGCTACATTCTATTTTAAAACTTCTCTGTATTGTATAATCTACATGCTTGCAAACCTCCAGCAATAGGAAATGCAAAAACCCAGCTGACAGCAGGGTAAGAGCTTCCAGTGGCTGTCAGCTGGTCTTCAGCAATAACACACTCTGTTTCTAAATGTTTGTAAACTCAGCTCATGTAGCAGTGCCCAACAGCTATAAAACACAGATCAGTGTTGTAAAGTGGTAAAAAAAAAAAAAAAAAAAAAATTAAAGATAAAAAAATAAACTTTAAAAAGGCTGCTGTTTTCAGTTCAATTGAATCTCAGAGACAGCAGTGGAGACCTGGTGAGTGTCTCATGGGCAATGCAGAGCAGGTTTTGAAGGAGACTGAGAAAGCAGAGAGCTGGAGATAGGTGCTGGTGCAAGGAGCTCAGTGGAGCAAACAGGTTGCAGCATTTCACTGCTTTCACCAGCAACAACGTGTAGTCGTACCTGGGAGAAAAAAACATGTGGTGCTCCCTGTTACAACATGCTGTCTTAATGTTTCTATTAAAAAACAAATACTTTTGCCTATACAAAAGCATAAAAATTGAAAAAGAAGGATTGAAATCATTATCCAGAAGGCGAAGACAATTCCTGGCACAAAATGGCAGCAATACAAAGACAGCTCAACCTTCCCTCCACGTTCAGGATGCCAGGAGGCAGCTTGCAAGCAAGCAGCAGGCAGCTGTGGCTCTGTAACAGAACCAGGAGCAGTGCACAGAGTGCAGCACACCTCCAAAGCACCGTGCCAAAGCCATGGCAGCAGGCTGACAGCTAAACGGACTGCACCTGTAGCATCTCTCTTTCTTTTCTGAGGATTCCAGCTACCACCCAACACATCCCAAATAATCTTTCTGGATGGTCACGTATGGAGGCAGGAGATGAACTCGATGATGCTCACAGGTCCCTTCCATCTCAGGGTATTCACACAGGCATCACCACACAACTTCACTGCTGCTGCCAACCCCTCAAGCCCATAGAGTTACACGTGCACCAGAGGCAAGCACCTACATGAGGTGCTATGTAAGCTTACCCATGTGAGCTCCTGGAGGACACGAGCACAACCATGAACTGCACAGAGGAAGCCGGGGGTTTTTCAAAAGGTTATTCATATTTTTCAAGCCCTTTTCATTAAAGGACAAGAGTCACCATCAATTCCAAACTACAGCCAAACAAGCACTCATTGTATTGCCAAAGGAGGGCTTCTTTTAAAGATATTCTTAGCAAAAGGAAACTCAGTGAAATTAGCCAGTTCTGCCAACCACTTCCATTTTCCAGTGCTGCTCAAACTGACTTCCTGTCAATATTAATTGACACAAAGCCATTCAGTTGACATAAAGCCATTCAACTGACATAAAGCCATTCAAATATGATGTGCTGGAGAACTTGCAAAATGGAGTAAGGCTCCCACGTGGTGCAGCACATAAAGGAAAATGCAACTTTTAGAGAATATAATCCCTTTCCTGTTCTGAATATCTTTTCTTAATGTAAAAATCTTTGTAAATAGATACAAATAACCAGCCCCAGAATTTTGATTCATCTCTTCTGGGGCTGGGCAGACACAGACACAGAACCCCAAGTGCTCCTGTTCTCCTGGCAGCTCTAACTGCTGAAGTTACAGAAACAACTGATTGTAGCCTGAACTGCATCACCTTCCTCAGCTGCCTGAAACTGTAACACACTTACCTTGTACATACTGAAATACACAAGTAACTGAAACAGATTTCTGTATCCCTAAAAAACACAATCTGAAACATTCAAGCAATAATTGCTTTACAGGAAGCATACTGAAGGAGGAATGGTAACATTTGCAATCATAGGAAGACTAAATCTGCAATCACCTGCAGCCTGGTAAATAAATACTGTTTCCTGAATGTTATCTCATACAATATGATGCCTGAGCAAAAGGATTTCACCCAGCTGCTATTCAGGGAAGGCTGTAAAAGAGAGAACTGTGTCCTACCTGCCACTGCAAAGCAATCTTACCTCTCTACCCACACCAAAAATATATATACATATACATATATATATATGTATACACTGCTAATATCACCTCCCAGGTCAGCAAAGATTTCCCTACATCTTTTAAATTTCTCTTTACGTGAATAACGAAAAGGAATTTCTAGTTTTAACAAGGTATTTAAAGGCAAAGCTCTGGTCCTAAAAACTAACAACAGACCTCTCAACAATTCCTTAGGTTTCCCAGATCTCTAGTAGGCTTCATTCATACAATATGAAAGCCAAGACCTCCAGAGGAAGACATAGAGAGAAATGAGAAAATATATATATATATAAAATGAGAAATTATTCATGTAATAATGAATTTATCTCACAGAACAGGAATGATCTTTCTCTTTGTTACAGTTGTCCTCAACCAAACCCAATGCGGCACACACCACAACTCCGGCTTTTCAATCCAAATCTCAAAGATCACCAACATTAAACGTGCCAAAGAAATAAGGAAATAGCAAACAGAGTTGGCAAACAGTGATTGCATTACACAGCAATTAATAAAGAAATAAAAAATTAATTTGAGGTGGCAACTCTGCACTAGGAAATTCAGATGAGCCAGAATGGGTGGCTTCTACCAACAAGGCAGAGTTCCCATGCTACCAAGTTACTGCAGCAACACATGTTAACTCACAAATAAAGCACTGAAGAAAATCTATTTCTTCAGGTACTTGCCTTTCACTTAGAAAGTGTATCAGAAACATCGCATCGCGTGCTACGCCACAAGCACAAATAAGCCAGGGATGAAACTTCAAATTTAGCCAAAGTGGCTACAAAGACTTTCCATTCTCCACACCGCATATGCAAAAAATGATGGCCACTACTTTCATTTCTAAACCCCAGAAGTCGAAGCCAACTGGTCCCTTGCAAACAAAGCAAATTTCCTTCTATGATTTATGAGCTTCAAACATCTGACCTACCAAGTTTTCATCTGTGTCAGTGCATTTGAGCTGCGCTGCTGCAGCCGCACAGACCAGCCGGGAGCAAAGTGCTGACTCAGTCAGCAAGCGGTTGCACTGCTCCCTGCACACAAAACCTCATTTCGAGGTACACAGACAGCAGAACAACGAGCCAGCATGCAGCCACAGATCAGACAGCAGCCCAATCCGTATCGACGAAAGGAGCGCTCTTGAGAGATGCTGGCCAGACACTGCTTTGTTTTTCTTCTTTGGGTAGAAATCTCCTTTATGTCAGAGCACGGGACTGCCAACAGCAGCAGCACAACACTGCAATGGTTGCCTTATCCTACAGAGAAGGGAAACTATTAAACTTACCTCTATCCCTTAAGCAAACAGCCAGCAGATGGTAGCTTGCTGCCTGTCCGTCTCTCCTGCTTTCAGTACACCTGCAGGTGATCCCACCTCCCCCTATCTCCTCCACGCACAGCCCAGGGGCAGGCACGGACCACAGCTGCCCACCAAACCCTTTGGGATATCCTAA